CCTCCTCCTCCTCCTCCTCCTCCTCCTCTGCCTTTCTTGAATTAACTATACCCAGTATAAATCTCCTTTGCCCTGGAGGTATGCTAATTGAAGGGAATGTGAGGAGAGATTACTAGTAGGCTGGCTCTGTATTTTTGATCTCTCAAGCACAACAATCCTTTCAAATTAATTACCTCCTCCAAGGCAAAAGGATATCTTGATAGAAAATAAATCCCAGCCTGTCCATTAAGGGATTACTTTAAAATTAACTCTCTGGGTCAGAGATTGGGGCTGAACAACATCCTTGGCTATGTGTGAAAGTAGGTAAGTCATGGCAGTTGGTTGAGGAAGGTTGGGGAGCCATGGGGGATTCCTGATAGATGAATCCCAGTGCAACTTAGATGGGTCTAGAATGGGTTTGCCCCTCTTACCTTCCTTAACTTCACTCAAGTAATGCAGGACATGGTATTCTGCACTGTTGGCTGAACCAGCAAACAGGACCTCTCTTTTTCCTGGCAGTGCAGCAACTCTGCTGCCCCAGATTGAGTTGGTGTGCTTGGGCTGTCAGAGAATTCCATGCTGGAATTTGGACCCTAAATGTTGCTGGGAGGGAATATTTATTTGCTCAGTGCCTCAAGATCCTTCTCCTACCTCTGGCCTAATCTCCTCTCTTCTACCTGGGCCAGTTTTGCAATCAGGAGGTCTCCATTGGAGGGATATTGTTAGCATGGATGATTATCCCCTTCAGCCTTGGGTCAAAGTGGCCGATGAGCCCAAATGCTTGTTTGGAACTCAAAGGCTTCAGTTGCTGCATAACTCCACTGTGAAGTCAGGTTGCCTGGTCATGGAGCCCTGCTTTTTCTGGAGTATCTTTGCACTTAAAAGGTTCATCATGGAAAGAACAACTCAAGGGCAGAAACTGCCTTGGCCCTAAATGTCCTCTCCCAGGAGTTGTGGGGACACACGATTAGGTGCTTTGTCCTGCGGAGTCACCCACTGTTCAAGCAGTCCCTTGAACAGTAGGTGGGTGGAATTCCACCAGGTGGGGACACTCTAAAGAAACAGATTTTGGGGTAGACGGAGCTCATCCTGGTGCCAGTCTAGAATCTTACCACATTCACATTCTGATAGAAACAACCAGTGATCTGTGAACTGTTTTGCATATCCCTAGTGCATGTAAGTTCTTTTCTCAGGATAATATCCCATGCAGCTGGCAAAATGGTCACAAATTCCTGAAAGCTTATGTCATAATAAAGTCCACAACAACAGACTTAACAGTGTCAGACTTAACTGGTAAAAACAGGGTCTAATTGATCTTTCCACTTGACATGGTTGCTACTTTTCATCTGGATGGATTGCTAACAACTTTAGCTGAGTAACGCAGTTGCATGGCTATTATTCATAGAGTGTATCACTACCCCAGCCATTGCTGACTTGGATAATACCCATGTGTTCCAGTCATTCAAACATTGCTGGAATAGTGTGGGATTCAGTTACCAACAAATGGCAACCACTTGGTTCTTGTAGCACAGGGTGGGGAATACCAGTCCCTCCAGAAATTGGTAAACTCCGACCAACTGCACTGGCCATGCTGGTGGGGGCTGGTAAAAGTTGCAGTTAAGTTGCAGTTAAGTAGGATCTGGAGTGCTGCCTGTTACCTGTCCCTTGTAGAAATGACACTGAGAATTGAGTCTTACAACTCTAAAACTGGGAGATTCTGCAATGAAATGCTGCATTACAAAGTAATGTATCAGAACTTTTGGGGAGAATAGATTTCCATTATGTTGTCCTTTAAGTGAGAAAACATATTTAAACGTCCTTTAAAAAAACACAGTTAATTAGATTCATGGAGGATTAGCAAATGCAGCAATCATATTAACATGCCAATGTGTTGAATGTATTTTCTCTATCATGATTTGTTTTGGAGAGCTCTTGGGGGCAGCCAGCTTGTCACTTTTTCTGATGAGTGTTTGAATAGATTTAATATTTCCCAAACTGAACCAATTCCAGATGTGTGAACTTCCAGAATTTTTACCAATGGCCATGTTAGCTGGAGAATTGTGGGAGTTGAAGTCTATATATCTGGGAGTTGCCCAGTTTGAGAACCACAGAACTAAGATGGTCATTACTGCAGGCAGAGAGTTGGGCTGTTCTAGCATGTGTCACTTTTAGGCAAGGTTGGCATTCTAGGAACTGATGAATTACAAACCCCAGGACCTCTTACCATGATTCCTAGGAATGACGGGTATTGTAGATCAGCAGCTTTCAGAATGTGGTTAGTAGCCTCACCCAGCTCTTAAGCTTAGGCATTGGGCAGTGCATGCTTTAAGTATTTTATTAAGCGGCTGCCTTAAATGTATCGTACTGGCAGTAGAGGCAACATGGCAGAAGATACAGGTTTCCCATTCATATAGCAATTCCCTGGCATCCTCTACTATAAATTTAAGGTAAGTTTATACTGTTGTTTTTTTCCTTAAGGATCCAGTTTTCTTTTCTTTACTTTTTCCTTGACTCTTGGTTAATGTTTTTATGCATTTATCATGGTCGATTGGCAAAGCCTATAGTAGAGGAAGAAGTAGGACTTGTGAAATTATGTATCGTACTGTGTGGATCAGTTGTCTTAAATCTGTGCTTTTAGGTGTGGTTGGATTACACAATTATCATTCTGAAAATAGCTTTCATGAAAAATTGGAATAGGAGACAGCTACAGTGACAATGAATGATATTGTTTAGATAAGTTCACTTTCCTTCCTGAGAAGCATTCAAGTTCAGTGAACTTGTGTGAATCTATTCCACCTTCCTTCTCTAATGAGGAAGTAGTCCTTCTGTCTGTGACAAAAAGAGGTAGCAGAAAAGGAGTGATTATGACAGTAGTCAAATACATAAACTCTTAGGAGTAGAATATGGAGCAGGGTCATATTATCTTCAGGATTTTGAAACTAAACAGAATAGGCAAAATATTATCTGATGTAAATCTCTTGAAGGTTAATAATTTCTTGTCTGTTGCAGTACAAAATTAAGATTACTGTACTTCACTGAATATGCTCAGTACCTACCAACCAGTTGTGGGAATTTTACTATATAGGTCTGCATGTAGGTCTGGAACTGTTGACCTGAAGATTACTGATATCACTGCTAAATTTGTTCCTGAATTTAACACCAGAGAAGTCTTTAGCTGAATAGTTTTAGTGTTATTGTGTTTTGTTTTTTCATATTTTCAGGCTTCATACAAAAGCTGGTACATCTTCCGTGGAAGGAGTAAGCGTCTACAGAAGTTTCAAGACATAGTTACCTGGTAAGTATTTTTAAGGTGTTCATATCAATAACAAAAAAAAATCCATCCATCCATGCGAAAGACATCAAATACTGATCAAAGCTATGGATTATACCTGCTGCAGACTTTCAGTCCATTTATAGGCAGGATTGTTGTTTTTGGAGGAGAAAAAAAAAGTTCAGGCTAGACCAACTCTAAAACTGTATTTCCCTTGTGTAGATCTTACCAACAAGCTTCTTCCAACTTATCTCCTTGCTTCATTCCATGTTGCAATTCTTTGTTGAGAAGAATGTATGATTAAATTAGGGTTGATTGGCCATGTATGCCTTCTTTTTATTTTAATTATAGTTTAATTATTGGAATAATGGTTGCATTCTGTTCTAGCTTAGGAGTATTGGATAACTAGCTCTTCCTTGAGAACAATTCTGATATATGAATGCCTGTTTATAATGCAAACCAAATGCAGTGTTGTTACTTAATGTGCACCTGAGCATATTTCAGGAAGCGAACATCCCAAAAGTTGAGTAGAATATTACTTTCACTCTGGGAGACATACAGGATATAGTAGATTTTTTTTCCCGCAGGTAAAGCAGCTACGGCAGTGCAAGATCCACTGACTGCAGATGTCTCAAGTCCTTTGAATGTCCATTTCCCCTCTGTCTCATTGTTGTGGCAAACAACTGGAGTCAGAAATCACAGCACAGAATTGGCTGTATTACATTATTACATTTCCCCCCCCTTCCTATTATTTTTCCTCCAAGTGCAGGTCCACTTTTTTTTTTCCAGTCAACCAAATGTTGATCTGTTGGTTGGGACAGGAATTGACTGACCAGCTTGTCGCCTGAGCCTGATGTCATGGGCTAAGAGAGAGGGACTGGCTCAAAGTCACCCAGCCGGCTTTCAGGCCTAAGACAGGACTACAACTCCCGGTCTCTAGCCTGGAGCCTTAACCACTAGACCAAACTGGCTCTCTATTACATTATTACATCTGGAAAAGAAATCTAAGGTTTATGTTGCCCCTGGAAATTTGCCTTAAAGGGTAATTTTCAGCTCTGCTAGTTTGGTTTGCAGAAAGAGGAAACATCTGCAAAGGGAAGAGAATAAGTACTTGTAAGATTTGCTCCAACAATTCTTATCTATGGCTTAGTGTTTTATGTGAAGCAGACCCCAAATAGGCTTGTTTGGCTGTGGTAGGTTAAGACTGCCTCTTGTCAGTGACGCATCTGTAGAATGGAAGAGCTCTTCCAGGACATCGAAGTAGCCGCTCTCACTGGGAGTCAGGTGATGTAAAAGATAGACAGCTGAGGATATGCATGCTAGTTCTTGCCTTGTAAATAAACCGGGGAGGGGGGGGGGATGTGTGTCTTTTTTTGACCAAACCTACCTTTGGGTTGCTTCATGTAAAACTCGGGGATTGGAGCTGTGGGAACAAGACTTACATTTACTCAGTTCTCTACTCTCACAACTGTTTCGTCTTTCTGGAAACTACTTGCTCTCAAGTGATCCTGTTGAAAATGACCATTTAAAAGCAAGTTGCCCATGGAGTGAAAGCCACTGTTTTGGTTTCTTTAATGGAATTTATTTATTTACTGGTCTTACAGGCAGCTTAAATGGCTAGCGTCTGAGTAGCAGACATATCTGACATCTGTAAATCAGATTAAAAACATAATTGTATAAATAAAAATCTTTAAACATTCTGGGTAGCTGGGTTTGCTTTGGTTATTGTCTAGTTTATGCCATCTTTTGTCCTTTGTTTTTATTTTATTCTGTGGTTTTTTTAAATCTGTGAACAGCCACTCTCACTGGGAGTCAGGTAATGTAAAAATTCAGTAAATAAATAAAATGAACATGTGTCAACAGGAATAAACATCAAGAACATCATTTAAGTTACCAAAAACCAAAATCCAGTACCAGAGTGAGCAATAACCCATCCCCAATTCTTAGAGTTGACAC